TTTATTTTGTGTTTGTCTTGTGATACGTTTCTTGTGTTTGTCTTGCAATACGTTTCTTGTGTCTGTCTTGTGATGCGTTTATGGTGTTTGTCCTGTGAAACGTTTATTGTGTTTGTCTTGTGGTACGTTTTTTGTGTTTGTCTTGTGATACGTTTCTTGTGTTTGACTTGTGATACGTTTCTCGTGTTTGTTTGTCTACTAGTACTCGCTCACTTGCTCCCCGTGGACAACGCCAACGGTAACTTTTTGCACCACTAAATAGAAGTCCCGTCCTGTGCAGCGGAGTGGGTTTGGTACAGTACAGTACAGTACAATTCTAGTCCTCTTTTATGGGTGACTTAACGCTCATGCCCAGAGTGGTACATCATATCTCGCGCCTTTTGTGGCTCTTTATTGTATCCTTTCAGTCGCGGAATCCATTCCTATGTTTTGTCTGCGTACCTATACTTGCGGAAAGTCCTGTTTTCGGTACACAGATTTAAATGCCTGCTGATATTTTCTGCGCCCAATAAATGTAAGCCAACTACCTGCTTATTTATAATCTATGATCGGGATGTATCAAATCCAGAATCAGTATACCCCGAGCGCGATAATTGGGTGACAACATGGATTGGAATTTGCTTCAGAGGACAAAAAAGCCAAAATAAATAAATAAGCGATGATGCGAACCCAATAGTGGCACTCAATGGTCACTCACACGCCCCATAATTCGTCATACTAGTCTTCAATAGCCAAAGTCTTCAATAGCCAATCAGATGCCGCGACTCTACGTCAGGCATTCGGAGAAGCTTTTGTACGCGGCCGCAAACCGTTGCAGAGCTATCAGGAGATCGTCCAGCGGCACTGTTGTGAAGACCAATCGGAACCATCCATCCTCAGGTGTAGCCATGGTACTGCCCGGGCTCAGGATCAGCTGATGTTATGATGGGTGTACGAGTGGTTCAATCAAACACAAGGGGTTAGTGCCGGGTATTGCGGAGGGGTAGGTAGCTTGGCTCTGACGAGTTGACTTCGACGGATTACATACAATGTTCGGCCTAGACACAGACGGATGTGTACTCATACTAACCCTCGCATGCTTGTTGTCCTTACCTTGTGACTCAGTAGGTGCTTGTATGCCTTGATCTCTTTGTCGTCGCTATTCACCCCAACACACCTGAGAGAGAGCATCACGAAGAATCCTATAGGAGAACAGACGGTGTGATCTCTTGAGTCCATTGCATATTGTATGTATGTATAACTGTGAGTATACCAATGAATACCGAGTACTAGTCGGTCATATGATTCCAGAGCTATGAATGTTTAGCGTTCATAGCATCGACCAGTATGGAAAGTTTTTGCTTGTGGTGTCGGTTGTATGCGCAGGGTTGCTTATCAGGTGAGTACGAGTATACCGTGGTAAGGCCTTTGGCGAGTTGAAGCGAGATTCCTGAGTGGATGGGTGACCACAGGATGGTTGAGGCGAGAGCCATGATATACACACAGACGCCAGCAGCATCATCCACACCTACTTAACGTATTTACTATTATAAATTGAACATGTATAGTGTGAAACTGTGATCACCCCATCGACGTATACGGATACTATAAGCGTTCCATACCTGCTTCGGCCGGTATATATTGCACTCCGAGCGAGTCCAACGTATTCGTCACAGCTTGGTATGCTTCCGCCAAACACTTGCTATGCACGCTAAAGTAATCTTTTGTGAAAGTTCGGTCCTTGAGCACCTGTGCATACACATGTTGTACCATCTGCGGAATCATTGCTGGCGAGGAAAAAAAACGCATTCGATTGGCGTTAGTTTGGTTGAAATCCCTAAACCAACAAGCAACCTCCCAACCGTCCCGTAAATCCTTGTAAGTATGTGTGTGCGTGTATTTATTTGGTAGAATTCGTGAGATCCCCGGTGGAAAGGATGGGTGTAAGCGGCAGCTAATATGTACGCATGTGTGGGTGAGTGAGTATATGCGACACAAACGCAAAACATAACAAATGAGCCCATTGCACGAGACAGCAGGATATCCGCGGTTTAGGGTTTAACCCCTACCCTAAACCCTAAAACAGCACGTGCCCAACGTAATATGCTACTTACCAAATAAAAAGGCGGTGACCAAAGGTTTTTTCAGCGCGTCACTCTGAGTGTAGACGGAGCCCACTCTCATGCCATTGCTACACAGATCCTGCTCCAGGAGTATTCAGGAACCCAGGAGTTGAGTTACGGAGTAATAGAGCAATAAATACTACAAGAGTGCTGGGTAGAATATAATGTGAGGCATGTATCCGGTATCGCTATATTGAAAGGAGGTCTGAAATGTTATAGAGCCACTGATCAATAGATAAGCAACGACTCGCAAGAGATATTGGCCAAATGGAGCATGATTGAAAAAAGCATATACATGTACGAGTATGTATGAGTATTTATGTATAAACATATATATATATATATATGTATATACTCATACATACTCGTACATATATATGCTTGTGTGTCATAAAGTTGAGGTTAACGGTAATCTGTATGATCGAAAGCTTGCGTGCCGACTTCACACCTTGGAAAAGCCCCAGACAATGTGTATGTCATCTGACAAATCTCCCTCCAATATATTCATCACCGATGTGAACGGACCAGAACCAGAGAACACACTCAACGCGTAGATCTCGTCCACCTGAGATGTTGGCATTTGAGAATTTAGGGCTACAAGAATATAACTAATGAGGGTTAAAGGGTGATCGTAAGCGTGCTGGGCCGAGTGAGTCACCCGAGGTACATAACGGTCCCAAAAAATAGAAATTGGACAACTGTGCAAGAATATGTTGGGCCGGGGTGTTTGCGATGGATATCTACATGGTACACTTTGTAGTGAACAATCCCGGAAAACCTGTTGCCTACGCTCTTCGGGGCAACAGTTGATATAGCTGGGCAATTGTGTAAACCTGATCCACTTTGTGGGACACTAGGCGGAGACTTCATATAGTCACCTCAATATAGAAGCAACAATGCAGTGTCTGTCTATTGACACATTCAGAGAGCTCTAACTGACACAAAGAAATGGCTTCATTGGCGATGGAGATCCTACAGTGTGACACACATTGTCATTGCTGCGGGTATACTACAAGTAGTATATACTGTTAATATACCTTTATGCAAGCCACCAGTGAATATCACCTCTGCGCAATAACAACCACACCATCTCATGACCCCTGCGTATTGACATCATGTCTTGGCCCTGGCTACTGACACCACTCATTAACATCATCAGATAACAACGACCACCCCACTGTAGCCGTAGCACGCTCTGCAAACTACCTTTTAACAGACACACTGAGACCATGTGATGTCCCAGTGCACACCGTGAATATCACCTGAAACCTATCACTACCACACATACTAGGCCTCCATACGCACATACCACGCAATACACACATACAGCGTACAAAGGCTGTGGACGGGTCACCCGAAGTGATGCTTAACGTATACATGCACAAATACTTGAGATTTACCTACTAGAGTACTGCAGCTGTACTTCTATAATAGTATTCAAGCTGTGGCACCGTACAGCACCTACATATATGAAATATCCATCGACAAAAAACCCTATAGCTATACACTGACAATGATATGCAAGTTATAGCCACGTACACTTGCAATAACACTCAACATGCACCTACAACCAGTGAACATTCATTCATTAACAACCACCCTTCAGCTACACACTTCCATTGCAATAACACTTAACATGCATCTACAACGAGTGAACATTCATCATCAACCCCCCTTCAGCTACACACTTCACACTTACAATGATCTGTAGACTGTGGCCCCGTGCCCATGCGATCATCTGTTCGATCTCGTCAGCTGTGTGTATGAAGCCCATCGGATTGTTCGGGTTCACAATAATCAGTACTCGCGGTGTGATTCCGTCTGCCATTGCCTATGGTGCGGTAGAGCGGGAAAGGATTTTGTCAACAACACAGCACGCTCTTTTATGTAGTGTGGTAATTCATCTTATTCTTTCATTGTAGGCGATCGGACATGCTAAAGGAAGACCTACCAAGTATATGAGGGTCTTGGTGTGTCAACCCGTGAGTACGTAGAGTTCTATACATACGCAAGGAGATACATAGTAATCAGAACGTGCCCCATCTCCAAGAACTAATATTTATATTCGTAGCGTGTACGATACATGTCGACCAAACACTGAATACACTCGATATGATGGTCTACGAAAATATACTTAACACGATGTATTGTATCACACCACAATATCCTACCAATGCACACGTCGCACCCCATTGTATGTATCACTTAACATGACGTACCTTATTATACGTATCATTTAACATGACGTACCTTGATATACGTATCATTTAACATGACGTACCCTTTTATACGTATCATTTAACATGACGTCCCTTGTTATACGTATCATTTAACATGACATACCTAATTATACGTATCATATAACGTGACGTACCTTATTATACGTATCATTTAACATGACGTACCTTATTATACGTATCATTTAAGATGACGTACCTTATTATACGTATCATTTAACATGACGTACCTTATAATACGTATCATTTGACATGACGTACCTTATTATACGTATCATTTGT